AAAAATCGGGCGTTACTTTTGATGGCTACTGTACGTACTGTCAGGCAAAACCCCATTCACGATTGACCTACGAATCGTTACGCAAAAAACCGTTGTACTCAATGACCCGGGACAGGACAAAGGTGAGATTATTAAGCCTAACAAAAATTCTTAAATTTTTGTTAGAGGTTATATTATTAAAAAGGCTTTTTAAATAAAACTAGTATTATAAAACCGGAATTAACAAAATAAAGTAATGTACTTAAAGTGGACATAATTTTATTGAAATAAATATCTAATATTATAAAAAAGTCCCTATACTATGTTTTTTAAAAATAATACTCGGGGTTCATTTCAAATTCAACCTGCATTAAGCAGATTTAAGCTTAATGCAGGCTAAAATTTGAAATTATAAGTTTTCTTATAGCAACTTTCATTTATCTTTATAACGATCCTATAATTTAAAGTTTCATTTGACTGTGACCAATTTTATGTTTCGCTGTGGTTAATGTGATTACGATCAAAGATTTTTGTCATTAAAGTTTTGACGTAGTCAAAATTTCGCTGATTAAATTTGGGTATAGTAAGCCTTGCCGTCGTCAAAAACCTTCTGTGATCAGAAGTCTTCTGCTATCAAAAGTCTTGTTTCCATCAAAAAAAGCCTTGTTGCTATCAAAAAAGGCCTTGTTGCCATCAGAAGTTTTACTTAGTCAGAAAAAGGAACTTTATCGTAATTACAGTAAAAGCTTTGTTATAAGAAAAAAAAACAATTTTGTTACTTCAAAATTTTATTAAGTCGAAGGTTTCATCTCATCAAGGTTTGTTTTTTAAAGTTTCACTTGGTTAATATCTTATCAAATGCTTTAATGTTAAGTAAATATTTTGTTGCAGTTAGGTTTTATTGATGGATTTAGATTCACCACTGCTTATCCCAACTGAATTTTAACAGTTTGATGATGAATTATCAGATGTTGAAGATTGTTATAAAACATCTGATAACTATAAAATGACTAATAATGAATATTCAAATAATAGTTGGTTGTTTCGGATATGCTAATATTCTACAACTTTTGTTAGTTTTTTAAATTCTATATTTTTTTGAATATTACATATAGTAAAATTTTAAGGAAAGTTATTAACGGTCGGTTATCGGTCGGTTATTACCGGCTAGCCGATCATAGCCGGCTAGCCGCGGCTATAGCAGATCATAGCCGGCTAGCCGCGGCTATAGCCGATCAATTTTTTAATTCCTTCATCAAATATCGATATTTAATCAAGTG